GTTGGCTACGGTTTTTTTCGGTCTTGCATGGCACTATTCGACGCGACTGTCATGGGCACCAAGCATTCGATGGTGGGCTGAATGCCGAGTTAAAAACGTGGCATTTGGTCTGTTGGTGGGTTGTGCGGTGTGTATGAAGTTTGTGATGCGTAATTGTGTGTGAGATGTATTTGGTTTTCATGGTCAGGTTTGATCCTTGCTCTAGCAGCAAAAACTTGCCATGAAAGCCTTTTCAATATGGTGTGCTACGCCTTTGTTTGCAATGGTTTCCTTTGTTCTCTACCCTTTCGGTAGCATCCTTACATTCTATCTGTTGAGTTCTATCGTGTGCCTTCCCTTATGGGAACTAAAGGGTTGGCATTCGATTAATGCCATGGCACTGCTTGTGGTACACTATCTGTTGGCTTTTTCCCAGAAAGTTTTGGCCCATTGGTTGTTGTTGAGTACTCAGGTTTGGTACACTAACGGGCACTGGTTAAGAATTCTCTGTTAGCTTAATTCCGCCCATTAAGTATTTTGTCCCAGGGTTCCCTGGTTCATTATTGGCTTCACCTTCACTTTTGTGATTGTGTTTCCCTCTGTATGACCGCCTATGATGTGTTGAGTTCGCTTTCGATTTTGGCGTGTCAAGGTGCATTGAGGAATGATACCTGGTTGATCCTGCCAGTAGTCATATGCTTGTCTCAAAGGTTAAGCCATGCATGTGTAAGTATGAACAAATTCAGACTGTGAAACTGCGAATGGCTCATTAAAACAGTAAAAGTTTGTTTGATGGTCGGATGGTAAATTCTGTCGCAGATATGAAATCTGCCACAACTTTTCTGCGACAGAAAAATTTCGTAGCAGATCCGTCGCAGAATAGAAATCTGCCACGGAATTTCAAATTCTGCCACGAAATTTTTCCATTGCAGATCAGCAATTTTCATGTAGTGTCCCTAACACTAGGGTTCACTTTGACCTTAGGAATCATGGAAACAATGGCATGCTTGAGTTGCTTAAGTATTCTCCCACTAATAAAGAACTCAGACACTGCTTCATACAGATTATAATCAATAATGTCCCACTTATCTTTAAAGAAAGCAGAAGTATAACTATCAAGGCCAGGGGATTTATTGTTCCCAATGGAAAACTGTGCATCCTTTTCCTCTTTAATATTCACCTTCCTTATGAGGTTGATAGCTTCCTAGTTGGGGATAATAGGGCCTTCATCAAACACACTCTAATCAATAGGTTCAGTAGGTACTGTGGTGCCAAATAAGCGGTAAAGTAGTCAATGAATTCCTTCCCTATCTCTTCCATACTGGTGGTGAGCCTATCATCATTGGTGACAAGGAAAGGGATGGCACTACTATGCCTGCTTCTTAAAAGCTATAGATAGCTCAACCTTGTTGAACAAACTGATGCCTCGTTATGAAGCGATTAATGACTTAATAGCTTATCATCGAAAACGTCGATGTAGTCTGATTGAATAAATGAAGTAAAGTGATGTTGACAAGACAAATCAATAAGATATTTACTCGTTCGTATATCCTACTGACGTGAAAGATTGGACGTGGTGATAATACAAAACAAGACGTGAAACAATGACACCAACAGTGAAAGACTGAAGAATGAAGAAATGCAGCTCGCACTGGCCATACAACCTAGAATAATATTTATAAATAATATCATTCCGACACAAATACAACTGGGATTACATGAAGTAATATTACAAATGTAACTCTAAATCTAATCCCTCAGGATTCACAAACTCAATGTAATTAGCACCAGGACCCGAAAAAGCCTTAGCAAACTCTAGTTTGTCTAAAAGCTCATCAAGAAAGAAAGAAGAGATGAAAATTTTCCTCTGATTCAAAGCCATGAAGTTCTGCCTCATCGCATCATCTAGAAACTTGTTTAGGTTATTGAAATAACTGTCAATGTTCAAAAGACCAATGGGTTTACTGTGCAACCCTTCGGATGCCCATGAGATCAAAGTGAACAAACCTTCCATAGTGTCGATCCCTCCAGGAAGTACGATGAAGGCTTCCACAATATGATTCATCTAAAAATACTTATAGTAATTGCTGGAAACGGTGTACTCTACACCGTACGTAGGTCCGTAAACCTGTCGTGTTGCTATATACCCTGGTATGAAACCTCTAACTCTACCACCATTGTTATAGACTGTTGAAGTAACAACCCCTTGAAGGCCAATGTTGCCTCCTCCGTAGGTAAGCCTAATTTCTCGACTTACCAGTTCCTATCCTAAATCTATCGCTTTAGCCATGAACCTTGGATTGATACCAAGCGCATGACTACCAAGCAGACCAAAGAATCTTATGGTATAAGAAAGAGCTCGAGTAGTTCCTTCCATAATGTGAGGATGTGAGATACTCTTACCACAATCATTATATATATATATATATATATATATATATATATATATATATATAGGCTTGAAATCTGACCTGTGGGAAAAAGGGTAGTTATCCTCAATCGAAATTTGTACAGCAAAGATGGATTCGATTCACCTACAGACAAGAACGTACTCACCAATGCTACAATCTACTGACGATATGACATGTTGATACTCATGAACAGTTAGTTTCGTTGTCCTGAAATACGTTCGAATTCAAGACGAAAAGTCAAAACGGCTATTTCCTAAGAGAACGATTTCTTCAGAAACTTCCAAAGAGTGAAAAATTGATGAAAAAAACCTACAATTAGAACCGTAATTCGCAAACGCTATCTTTGTATGTTGTGACTCATAACTTTGAATTACTCGCACTTGCTCTGTTAACTATACCCTTGAAACACCTCACTTAATCAATCGTGAAAAGATTAAATTCCATTCTTCATACTAAAACCATGATTCTTCATAATATCAAAGTTGCTTTATGATACCGATGTTCGAGAACTATACGTTGTGCTTCTTGGAATGGGTGAATATACCATTCCTTGTTCAAGTGAGCATATAGAGACTGTGGCCGATTGCGAGGGGAGCTTCATTGTATGGCCAAAGTCGTTGGTGGGCTTGGACATGTAAGAAGTAAATAAATTTGGTTCTTTTTTATTCAACATCATTTGGCCTGTGTTTCACATATCATTTTTTTTTGAAAATATTCGTAGCCCCCTATGCACACGGCTCGACATGGTGACTTCTCGTCAAGCAAATCTCGTCCCATTCTCGGCATACACCCCACTACTCCTAGCTCTCCCGTAGAGGATGTTGTTGACCAGAGCTCATACGTCGCATTCGGGCCGAGGTGCAGAGAGTTGTGTAAGTGGCTGACACGCACATCTCCTTTGCCTACCATCAGCGTCCGGAGGAGACGTAGCTGAGGATGCGTCCGAAGAATATACGTGAGTTCATGCGATGGGAGGAGGTCGACCAGACCATCATCATTGTTTTCTTGGGAGCACTACGTACGAATAAATTACTATTATAATTATAATTATTTCTTATAATGGTAATTATTATTTACATGTGAAATTACTAGATTGTTGCATGATCATATAATGGACCACAGCATCACGTATGTCCGGTTGTTATGTTCGAAGAACATGGAACACGTGGTAGATTTTAGAGATCGCCAGTATATGGATAGAGCACTTGAGACCTATCAATCGCGACCCTGGATACTTATGCCATTGTATCTATCAACACCGTATGTTTTCTAAATCATTTCCAATATGTATTTTGGTATTTTATTTTAAGTTAGTGACTAATGCTTTTTCAATTGTAGGCAACATTGGGTGTTAGTTGTAATACGTTTGTTTGAAAACAAAGTGTATTTCGTAAACTCAATCAAGGCGACCGGAGGGCATAAGAAAATGAAGGTGAAGACTTTCGTCAGCGAGTAAGTATTAAGAAATTTATTTTCTTATTAATTTGTTTTTTACATATATTAAAGGTCTTGGCAGTTACTTCAGGAACGGCACATGCCTCAGCTTAAGGCTCGACCAGATTGGGTTGATGTTCCCGAAGTACCCCAACAAATAGGGAACGTTGAGTGTGGTTATTATACCATGGGATTTTGTTGGCTCATCATCAATATGTGAGCACAATGTTCTGTACCGTTATCCGATGTAAGTTTGTTTTAGTGTGTTTTTGAAAGTAATGAAGTGTTTATCGTCATTTTCTTTTTCATAGATTATTAAACTTTATGTCGTATGTTGTTTTCGTATTGCAGGTATTTTAGTCTACTACGCCTTATACTAGAGCTGAATTAGAAGAAGTTAGAGAGGTTTAGGATGGGGGTTTTCTCAATGAACTTGTGTAAGTTTAATTTGTGTTGTATTGTATAGTATTAAATGTAAGTGAGTAAAGTGTAGTTGTTTGACTTTTAGTTGTGTTGTTAAAACTTAGAAGAATAGTTGTTTAATTTTACTCTTGTTTTTTTTAAGATGTACAACTGGTGGATGCAAATGTATACTTTTTTGGTTTAATATGTTTTGTGGCATTTGAGTTTTGTGAATGCATTTGTATTAGTTACTGTTGTGTTGATGGCTTGAATTCTTCTTGCTGTTAAATCTGTATATTTTGCACAAAATTCTCTGCAAAAGATGAAATGTAGTGGATCGGGAGCAAACAAAATAGTCCTTTTGAAAAAATTAATATTTTGAATCGGTTATTTGGTAATAACCGATTCAAAAGGGCTTTCCAAGAGAAGGGCTTTTGAATCAGTTATTTGGTAATAACCGATTCAAAAGCTTAGGCATTTGAATCGGTTATAACCAAATAACCGATGCAAATACTTCTTCCCAAAAATGGTGCCATTTCTGGGAAGGAGCTTTTGCATCGGTTATTTGGTAATAACTGATTCAAAAAGCCTTTTCCCGGAATTGGTGCCATTTCTGGGGAGGGGTTTTGCATCGATTTTAACAACCGATGCAAAAAGTAACGTGAGTATTTGCATAGCTGGCTTTTGCATCATTTCAAAACCGATTTAAAAGGGTCAAAATAACCAAATTAAAAAATGTTTTTTGTAGTAGTGTAACACCTCAATCCGTCCAAGTCTACAGCCCCTTTCGGACTAAAGTATTTAACTTGGTAATCGTAAAAATTTAAAACACACCATTTATTTATCACAATAATATTTTTCATAACATATACAGTATGGAGTATTCAACAATATTGCAGAAGCAAATTTAATATTGATATTTCAAACTTGTCACATCCATCCCAAAAATCTCGCCCCATCTGCTACCAGGATCACATTGCTCTTTCTGTTTACCTGCGTGTAGCAAATAAAACACACTACACGCTCAGCGGTAAAGCTGAGTAAGCATATCTAATGCGTCGAACATCCATATAAACTGAATCTAAATTCATAATCAAATCATTTGATATCATGCACACAATGTTCATTTCAGACATTCATAGTTTTAATAACGTTCAGTTCATATCAACACATTTTATTCAATTCAGATATTATTCCAAAAGTGCCCTTAAATTCTTCTTAATCTAAGGCCAAATAATAACAATGCTCTTAGCTATTCTTAGTCTAAGGCCATGTAATAACAATGCTCTTAAAAAGGCAATTAATTATCAGACACTTAAACTATCATTAGCTTAAGGCAAATGATTTCGGACACTTAACTGTAGTTAGTTAAGGCAATTAATAATCAGACACATAAACTATTATTAGTTTAAGGAAAATGATTTCGGACACTTAACCGTAGTAAGTTAAGGCAACAACAATATAGCGATTGATCAACATTGGATCGGGGCATTCCCAAACAAATGATCCTCTAGTTTGGTCTACGAATTCCGTTATTACATTTTCATCCAATCACTGAATATTCATGTTTCACAAATCCATACTAATATGAGATCCATTCTAGAAGTCTTCTAGATAGCTTTAACATCAATTTTCTAAATGGGTATATCTTAAAGTTCTTCTAGATACCCTTAACACTACAAATCATTTCATAATTATAAATGTATTCATTTTACTCATGATTCAATCATAAATACTCATTTTAATCATTAGGTTCATTACTCATAATCATCCATTATATTCATTTATCATAATCATCAATTAACATAACAATTGATAACAAATAACGGCCTAGCTTCGAGTGTTAACACCTCAACTTACCGTCATGCAACACATAAACTTTTTAGTTGTTAAAAACATCATTTTTATTATGGTAAATTATTTTTATAATGATCATAATCAATTGGTATCAAAAAATAGGATTTTAGAGCTCAAAAATAGCATTTTCAGCCAAATTTTTGGATCAGAACTACGGGGATCGATACAGCCCTCTGGATCGATCCAAAATAGAAGAAAACTCCCAGAGGATTGATCTAATGAAGATGATCGATCCACTCTGTGGATTTTCAGCCACTGTTCATTCATTTTCAACCTCGGTCCATTTTTCGGAAAAACCGTTTTTAGTCACTAAACTTCAACGAAACTATATAGAAATGTTCTCCAAGGTTCATGGATCTTTTTGGAATCATTAATTCATAGTTTTAACATCAATTTCATGGTTTATGATTTTTGGTTCTTCAAGCATGTCAAACACAAAACTCAACCAAACGACCGTTTATGAACGTGGAAACGATCTATACGAACATTCTAGTCAATAGATATATTTACGGGCTTACCTCGAAGCTTATGGAAGATTTTGAGAATTTTCTGGCGAAACTTCCGGCGAGGTTTGTGGCTCTGGCGACTTTGCCCCAAATTGACAGCACCACTTTATTCTCTACACTCACAGCTTCTTCTCAGAGTTTATTTGAAGGAATTTGATGAAGAAATGGATGAGATTGGGTTCCTTTTATAGGAGAAGAAGTGAAGAAGAAGACATATGTGTGACTCAGGATTCCATTTCTTCGTTGGTGATCGATTTAGTGCGCAGGACAACGGATTTGTAGGATTTCACATGTCGTTCAGTGATTGCACTGTTGGGATCTGGCAATTAAACTCTATCCAACGATATAATTTTCATATTTATGTGTAACACTTTTTCTGAAATCATATTTTAGGGTATTTGACTTTGAAAGAGTCAAAATTGGTTTATTTGACTTTTATTATAAAAGGTTCCCACATTTAATTTATTCTCATGGTTTATTTCAAGAATTCATTTCAAAGTTCATATCACAACAATTTCTTCATTTATCCTTGATTTGGGTCTATACTCTTTTTCTCAATCAAGGTCACACAAAAAGTCAATCAGGTTGGATTTATCTCTATGAGATTTATCCCAATTATGTTTATCAGATATCAATACATATTTTATTTCGGCCCAAAGCCCAACAACAATTTATTTTAATCAAAACAAATTTGATTATTCAAATAATTATTTATTAATAATTCTAGGGTATGTTTTGGGGCTATACAAGTAGTGCTTGTTTGATATTTCCAAGCAAGATTTTCGATTTCCATAACTTGTGTTTTTGAAAATTCTTCAAAACATGGATACTCAAATATCAAATCTCAAGAAGAAATATTGATGGTCCCAAAGTGGTGAGATACAAAGTCTAGATGGGGGTGAATAGACTTTGTAACAAATTTAAAACTTTTTCGTTTCTTTTGAAAACGTGAAAATAGTGTAAATCTAGAGTTCTTGGGAACTTTAGATTGTGTGCGGAATTTGGTGGGTAGTATGAGCAGTAATCAATATGGATGGGTTAGTTCTCACAGTTAATATAATTACAAGTAAGAGTAAAGATAAAAGAGAGAGACACGCAAACTTTAACGAGGTTCGAAGGTGGGGTAATCCTTCTACGTCCTCAAAATCCACTATGTAGTTGGTTGTTGAATAATGAACCAACAATTACACTTGTGTGAATTTCTGCACGGTATATCTTCGCAAGGCCAAAGTTGCTACTGCACTCGTGCTGGCTTTGTTGTTCCTTTGAAGGTCACACTTCTTCAACAACTGCAAGATCCGAACAATAGGACTTGCAAGATCAACTTGTGAGAAAGTTGATCTTCCCCCTTTTTAATCAAGAAGTTTGATTAAAAGTTATATCCTTCAACGTGGTGTGGTACTTGAGGCAAGGAAACCTTCAAGTGTTTACACTATAGCTCTTTGGAAGGAGGAGAAGGTTGCTTCTGGATAAGGAGTTTAGAAATCTCTCTTTATCAAGCTTTTTGGGCTAACTGTGAATGAGATAGCTTTTTTGTTAGTTTTCTTCGTTGTAAGTATTTCGTGCTTTCTATCTCATCATTGTTTTTTCTCCAGTCCTCCAAGGTTGCTATTTATAGCTGGATTGGATAATCTATCCATTGAATCAAAATAGACTATCCGTTGCATTTGCTGGCTTCAATTTTGAATGAAGATTGTGATTGAGGATTCCTCATTGGAATGGGTGTTTGGACATACCCAATTGTTTGAGGAGGGATTCCTTTTTCACAGAATCCGTCTTCTAGCTGTTGTTCAAGAATTCGGGACTGTAGCACTTTACTTAGTTTGTCTTCTAGTGCTTGTTTAGGAATTCTGGACGAGCTCTTTAATTTGAGGGGTCCAGACTTTGTCTTCAAGTCATTTGTTCTTGAATCAGCTTAATTATCTTCAATCTAGCCTTGAAAATCTAGAGATTGATTTTTCCTTACCAACGGGTAGAATTTCTTCATTCAAGACTTAGAATTTTTCTAAGTCTTTTCTCACTTGTCCACTTCTGAGAGTTCTGGTCTTTTCTTGAGGCATCCGGTTCTTTCGCTGACAAATCCGGAAGAGTCATTCACAGACTTCCAGGTGAGAAAGAGATCCGCGCTAGTCTTCCGATTTGGATGACTTAGCCTTCAGCGGGTTGTAGCGAGACATCCGGTTATCATGTAGTGTTCCGGATTAGAGGATTTTCATCTGCTTTGAGAAATCCTTATTTGTCTCTGACATTTGCGATCAAGATATCCAATTTCCATATCACAGAATTTGATTAAGTCTTCAAGCATCAAACCACTTAAAGAAATATCACAACTTTATTGGAAATCTCAAGAACTCGGTTTTAACAATATTTCTAAAAAGAAAAATTACATTGAATATTGGGGGAGGCCTAAAGTCCCTATTACAATCTAAATACATCATCATCAAAATCTATAATATTTTCCCAACAATATATCACAAGTTTTATTTGAAACTCAAGAACTTGGTTTTAAAAAGATTTCTAATAAAAAGAAAATTACATTGAATTATGGGGGAGGCCTAAAGATCCCATTACAATCTACATACATCATCATCAAAATCTATAATATTTTTTCCAACAAATATTTTATTCTAAATGATGCACGAAAAATAAAAAAAATAAAAATCAAAGTTTCAAGAGTATGTTTTTCTCACTAAAAGCTCTAATACCAAATGTTGAGGAACTGGGTAGCATCTAGGAATTTAACATACTTTGGGTCTTGAATACTTATCTTGTCAAATAAGATAATATGATATATACTAAAAATTATTAAATTCAAAAATTTAAAATAAAATAAACAAACAAATAAAAAAAAAATGAAGGGATATGAAAACACGAGGGAGGATCAAACCCATGACATCCATGTCAATCCATTAAACCTGTGGCCATCCATGTAAAACCAAATATATATATTAAGTTTTATTACATGGGCCTTACCCACGCTACTAATTGAAAAAACTTTCAATTATTTAAAAAAGAAAGTCATACTTGTGTAATGTAAAAAAACAAACTTTAATATGTGCGTTGTACATGACTCAATGTGGATAACCATGAGTTTCTCGGTACCATATTACCTCCTATAAAGAAAGAGTGTACATCCACTTTTAAATATATTAATTATTTTAATATATTTAATAGTCATCAATACTAAAGCCTTTTCAGGTGGATTTCTCCAAGTGCAAGGCCAAACCTTTCCCTAGACTCACCAAGAGGAAGAAGCCAACAACTCCTTTCGAGGTTATGACTAGGAGTCATAGTCAGCTAGGTGGAGCCCCTTCCTTTCCCCTATCAAGAAGCCTCTTTTCTTGAATGCTAGGGGAATTGTATCCTCCCTAGCAAGGATTATATGATTTATATCTTTAAATGACTACAAGATAAAGCTAGGGTACTCTGAATGCATGGGATCAGCTAATGACAAATCTTGGATCTTATGGGAGAAGGAGTTCTGGGGCATGTGGAGTGTAAACAAGAGGATCAGATTGTCACATGCAAATTCCTCAACCTTAAATTTCGATCCCCACCCCCTCCCCTATCCCTTTTTATTTACAAAGTTTATGTTAATTAAGCACACCACAATAGGAAGAAAGAATCTAC